ACCCCCCTCCAACTTTCCTTTCTCCCCCCCAACATTCCCCTCTACCCTACTCCCCCACTCCTCTCTCCCAATACACTTCCTCCCTTCCTTCTCACCCTCCCTCCAATCCTCTCTCCCCCCCTCTCTACCCCTCTTTCTTCTTTCCCTCTACTCCTCCCTTCGGTGTATTTCTACTATCTATTAATATATTCAGTTTGTCCTATTTTAACACTGGAATTAAAGAGCAAGACTTTGAGTCTTTATTGATTAGCCCTTGGGCCATATCAAAGTGCAAAGTTCCAGAAGCAAATTATTACTAATATTTGATAAAAGCAATATAAAATGGAATTGAAATAAAATACAGTCTAAAATGAAATTGGAGTAGAATACAATAATTTAAGATATTGATAAAATATTGTAAAATTATATTTAGGTATCACCCCTGCAATTTACTCCAACCAGTCCCACATATGCAGATCTCAACTGAACCATTTTGTTCAAGTACTGTGCTGTGTTAAATGTTATTTTCCAGTTCTGGCTGCACATAAGGTAAATTGTTTTGATATGGGATCCCAATGGGTCATTTATTTGTATATAGGCCAAGATACCTGTCTCTCACCCCTTATACAAGCAACAATCAAATACGATGTAACCCAGGTCTTCTACCTCTGCCGCTCCGCAAATGCAGAGAATGGATAGGGCATAGAATGGAATCTCCCCTATCTGACCCTATGTTTGATTTTAGTCTAAGTACAGGTAGTCTCCAACCTATGACCACAATTAAGTCCAAAATTTCTGTAGTTAAGCAAAACACTTAAGTGAATTTTGCCCAATTTTATGACTTTTCTTGCCACAGTTGTTAAGTGAATCACTGATGTTGTTAAGTTAGTAATATGGTTATTAAATTACTCTGGTTTCCCATTAATTTTGTGTGTCAGAAGGTTACAAAAAGTAATTACATAATTCTAGGACACTGCAACCATCATAAATATGAGTCAGTTGCCAAGCATCTAAATTTTGAACACATGACCATGGGGGTGCTGCAAAGGTCGTAAGTGTGAAAAAACGGTCATAAGTCACTTTTTCAGTGCTATTGTAGGTCACTAAATCAATTGTTGTTAAGTCAAGGACTAGCTGTAATGAAAGCAAGGTATCTTTTGAATGATGATAGTAATTGGGCCCTAAATTTCTGTCATTGAGTGGTGAGGTTATAAAGTACATAACATGACTGCCTTGTTTAATGACAGCAATCCTTGTCATCATTAACCAGGGATCCTCCCCAGTCCAAGCCATTCTGGCCTTCATTCCTCCCAGTGCAAAATTTCCTTTCTCATTTTTGCCATTTTGGATGTCCTAATCGTGCCTTGAGGTATGGCAAGTGGTCCCAAAATAGCACAGCTCTAGGGCTGCTTGCCATGTTGTAGCCATAGTGAGCTGCAGCTCTGCAAGAAGCCACTGAGTACAACACAGAACCAAACCATAGATACTCCTAGAAACTGCAGTCACCCCAGCTGCATGGTGTAAAGCCTCAAGGCCCCAGAGTTTTTCACAGCACTGCACAGACCATGTTAGGGAAGGAGAACAGA